CAAGAATTTAGTGTAGTATCAAATTATTTTAAAACCATGGCTTGCTGTTAAAAAAAAAAAAAAGTAAATAAAATAAAAAGACTGTGTCTGCCCAAACATCACCTGCCACTTCATTTTCAAGACATCTCCCAGGTTTTAATTGAGGAGTTTCAAATGGACAGAAGAGGTGGCAGGCTAGGGCGATGATCTCAGCCTCAAGTAGATATTAATAACACTTGGCTGTTCTGGGCTTCACTGCACCTTCCACATATATATGGCTGGGTTGTGTGGTGGTGGCTGTTTGATTAGTTGCAGAAATGACACAACCCTCCTTAATACTTTAACACTCATCTCCTAAGATGAAGACACTTGTCTCCCCACTCACACTAGCACCATTATGTCTTAGGAAATATACATTATTTAATATCATTTAATAATGGTCTATATTCTGCCGGGCGGTGGTGGCATATCCCAGCACTCAGGAGGCACACCCAGGTGGATCTCTGTGAGTTCGAGGCCAGCCTGGGCTACAGAATGAGTTCCAGGATGGGCACCAAAACTACACAGAGGAACCCTGTCTCAAATTACCAAAAAAAAAAGTAATAATAATAATAATGGTCCATATTTAAATTTCTGCAGTTGTTCCAAGGATGCCTTTTGTCATTTCTTTTTTCCCTCTCTCTCTCCTTCCTCACCTTCTTCCTTTCTTCTCTCCCTTCCTCTTTTCTCCCTCTTTCCCTGCTGTCCTTTCAACTAGAATTCCCTCTAGATTCAAGCTGCATTTGGCTACAGATCCTAGTACTTTCCCCCACCTCCTCCTTTCCTCAATATATAGGTTTTTGTTGTTGTTGAGACAGGGTTTCTTTGTGTAACAGCCCTACCTGTCCTGGAACTGGATCTGTAGACCAGGCTAGCCTCAAACTCACAGAGATCTGCCTGCCTCTGCCTCCCGAGTGTTGAGATCAAAGGCGAATGCCACCACCACCCGGCTTTATTATTATTATTATTATTATTATTATTATTATTATTATTATTTGGTTTTTCGAGACATGGTTTCTCTGTGTAGCTTTGGAGCCTGTCCTGGGACTCGCTCTGTAGCCCAAGCTGGCCTCGAGCTCACAGAGATTCACCTGGCTCTGCCTCCTGAGTGCTGGGATTAAAGGCTTCCGCCGCCGCCGCCGCCGCCGCCGCCGCCACCGCCCCCCCCAGCTTTAATACACAGATTTTTTTTAAGCCAAAATCCCAGAGAATTGAGCACATGCTTACAATCCTAGATGAGCTACACACTGTGGACCGTGACTGCCCAGCCTCCTCCTCCATTCACTATTTTAGGCGCAGGACTAGAAGCTAACTTCCAGACCTTGTTTAATCCTAAAACTGGCTTAAATTGGCTTTATCAGCCTGACTTTGCCACACCATCCAGCTTGGCCACACGTTGAAAAAATGGATAGCCATCAAATTACAATTTGATGGAGAGCATCCATATACCGAAACTCCAAATGTACAGGAAAGCCAGGCATGGTGGCACACACTTATAATCCCAGCACTCAGGGTTCTGAGGCAGGAGGAACACAGATCCAAGACAAAGCCTGGGCTACAAAAGGAGACTCTATCTCCACAAACCAAACAACCTCCCAAAGGCAGGAAAGTTGAGAGATTAACAGCACTGGGATGACCCATACAGTCTCTATCTCATTTCAATAATTGGTAATATTTGATCATATATAACTTACCTTTCTACTTCATTGTAATACACTCTTTGGTCTGAGTTTTGTTTTTGTTTTTGTTTTGGGGGGCAGGGACGGGATATCTCCATGTAGCCCAGGCTAGCCTTAATATGCTATCTTCCTGCCTCAACCTCCTCAGGGCTGACTATAGGTGTGTATCACCAATATTTCAACTGCCATTTTTCTTTTGAGACAGGGTCTCATTACTTAAATCAAGCTGCTTCGAACTTGGTCTGATCCTTTTACAAGTCCATCCCTACTTAGCTTGGTTTCCCTGGCCATGAGTTCAACAGAAAGGTCCCTGGCTGTCTTACTACCTCATGCACGGCATGGGTCGGGGAGGGGATCAAAGTTTGTCCCTCCCTCCTATCGTTTGCTTATTCACTGGTAAAGGAAGGAAGGATAAAAAGGAAAAGGAAAAAAAAAAAACAAAAAAAACTAGGACGAACCACACGATGCTGGCTTGGAATTAATATTGAAATAAGACAGCTGGGGTTGGAGCGATGGCCTATCAGTCAAGGGCTCTCTCTTCCCGCTTTCTCACAGGACCCGAGTCCAGTTCCCAGGATCCACACTGAACAGCACACAACCGCCTGTAACTCCAGTTCAAAGTCCTTCTTCTGGCCTCCACGGGCACCCCTCCCAACACACACGTGCATGCACACACAACACATACATACAAATAAATAACTTAGTAAAGTTTTAAATATTCAATGATGGGCTGGCCAGGTGGCTCAGTGGGCAATAGTTCTTGCTACACATGCCTAATGATCTTCGTTGGATCCCCTGAACCCAGGGTGGAAGGAGAGAATTGACTCCTGGAAGTCGTCCTCTGACCTCCTCACACGTGTGCCATGGCACGCACACACAGTATTTAAAATATCAAGGAAGCTGCAATGCTAAGTCATGACAGCTATAAGAAGCAGACGGTTGATGATGAAAAGCACAAACTTGTTGAGAATGGTTAGTCCGCATCGACCTATTGAAAGGCTTCTGACGTTCACAGTGAGGTCTGGGATCACTTTTTTTTTTTTTCATCTACTCAAGTGTCAATTATTTTAAAAAACAAATAGTCTGAGAGGGGCATGGAGCTTCTCACCCTTTCCAGAAGTGCTCAGGGTCACAGTTGTCTAGATAATTAAAGCGGATGATGTCAGTGGGATGCTTATCCGATGATCGCCACGGTGGAAGCTCTTTCTCTCCTGGGTTAGTCTTCTTTCTTAAGGCGGAGGAGGACCGCAAAGCTAACGAAGGCGATGACTTTTCCTCTAGAGAACTGCCGGAAACGGGCTGAACATCGGCAATGATGAATCCATCCTTTGGAGGTGTCTAGAGGAAGAAAATGTATTATGTCTACTACCGGAGTATTGGAATATCATCACCGCCACCAAGAGACAAAGGACACAAACATCTTAACCACCCTCCTCCTCCTCCTCTTTTTTACTATGGCAGTGACTGGTGATAATGATTAGGATTACAGCAGCCAGGTCCCAGGAGTACTCGGATGTGCACAGCAGTTTCTTTGCATTTTTTAATTCCATCTTCATAGTAATTTATTTGTTATTATCTATACTGGGTCTTGTGTAGCCCGAGCTCACCTCAGACTCCCAGGATAGCCCAATATGATCTTGAACTCTTGAACCTCCCTCCTCTGCCTCCTGAATGCTGAGGTTACAGACCTATGACACCAGGCGTATATAGTGCTGGAAACTGAATTTAGGACTTCATGACCGACAAGCAAACACTCTACCAGCTGAGCTGTAGCACCGGCCTTATTTGGTTTTCAAAGGCAGTGTCTCAGTCTGTGACCCAGCCTGGCCTTAGGTAACCAGGCTGGCTTTGAGCTCAGTGCCATGCTCCCTCCCCGGCCTCAGAAGTGCCGGGATTATAGGTGTGAGCACCACTCCCGACTTGCACAGAAATTTAAGGCGAGCTCATCATTGCTTCTGTTTTTACAGAGGCAGAATCTGAAGCCAGAAGAAACTATTTCATTGATCCATAAGGACATAAGTAGAATTTCAGTTTGAACACAGGATTCAAATCCAAGTCTGTTGTGCTTCAAGTCCGTACGTTAGACCTTCTTATCCTATCCTGTAGCTCTACACCCCATGATCTAGCTTGTCACACTGCAGTTAATATATTCATGAAAGGGTGCACCCCCTCCCCTCCCCTCCCCTCCCCCCAGTGCCCTACCCTTAAAGAACTGACAGACAGACAGGTTCAAGTTGCACAGGAGCAGACTGTAGCTTGTGTCAGTTATCCGAAGCGAAGCCTCTCCTGAAGAATAATTCTATTTCATTTCCAAAATTAGAAGTCTGTCTTTTGTGCACTTGGTTCTTAAAGTGTTTTCAGTGCGGGTTTAGCCTAAGGGAAGTGGTACTGGTATGTTGGGAAGCCATTAAGAGCTCAATTTTTGTTCATTAAGAGATTAGGGAGGCTTTGCTCAGTAAATCAACTTGCTTCAATTGTGAGTGAAAAATCAAGAATTTCCCCAGTTGGGACTGGGATGTAGCTCTCTGGTAGAGACTTTGCTATGGTCTTATATTCCATACCTAGCTCCACCACCAAAAAAATAAAGAAGGAAGGGAGGAAGAAAAGAAAGCAGGGAGGAGAGAGAAGCAATCCCCCTAGCTCCCCAAGCTTAACAAGGCCCATTGTTTGACCACTCCTTGTTTGTTGTGTTCATGTCTACTCCAAGATTATCCTCAGTATTAAGCGTTTCGATTACAGTGTTTATTTGGGTATGTCATGGTTACTGGACTGAGTTTTATGGAAAACTGGTTAGGATCTTTGTACTGTTAGCACCTAGTACATACCAGTGTTTGATAAATATTTACTCACTTAATGAATGATTGTGGATGTATCAGTTTGCTGTCTGCTGCTATGATAAACTCCATGACCAAAAGCAACTTGGGGAGGAAAGGGTTCATTTCATCACACAGGTCACACACTGTTGTAGAATGTTATTTTAAGGTGTGTTACACTGGTTTATACTGTGGAACATTTGTTTTAATGATGCAAAGGTGTGTTGTGTTCTTTTATGTTGCATTTGTTTAACTCTGTAGAGCTGTGTTACTGTGCCTGTCTAAAATACCTGATGGTCTAATAAAGAGCTGACTGGCCCATAGCAAGGCAGGAGAAAGGATAGGCAGGGCTAGCAGGCAGAGAGAATATATAGAAAGAGAATCTGGGAGGAGGAGAAGAAGGAGCAAGAGAACAAGGAGAGGAGGATGCTAGGGGCCAGCTGCCTAGCTAGCCACAGAGTAAGAGTGAAAGTAAGATATACAGAAGTAAAAGAAAGGTAAAAGTCCAGAGGCAAAAGGTAGATGGGATAATTTAAAGTTAAGAAAAGCTGGCCAGAAACAAGCCAAGCTAAGGCTAGGCATTCATAATTAAGACTAAGCCTCTGTATGTGATGTATTTGGGAGCTGGGTGGCAGGCCCCCCAAAAGAGCAGAAACAAACAACAACAGGTTACAGTCCATCGTCAAGGGAAAGCAGGGAAGGAAGTCGAAGCAGAAACCATGGAGGAATGCTGCTTACTGGCTTGCTTCCAGGCTCATGCCCAGTTACCTTTCTTATCTAGCTCAGGGCCACCTGACTAGGGTTAGCACCACCCGTAGTGGACTGAGACCTCCTACATCAACTAGCAATCAAGACAATGGCTCACACACATGGAGAGAGGTCAGTCCCAGGCATGTCAAGCTGACAATCAAGATTACCAGTCACTGTAGCCCAGTAGCCAACTTAGAAGACATGTAATATTGGTATATTTCTGTATGTTGTACAGGTCCCGTCTAGAGTGGATGTTAATTTCTATTAGCTTATTTAGAAATAAACCCTTGTCTTTCTGCTGGAGGAGTTCTACTTTAATCCTTGTAATAGTTGATATTGTCAATTTGACAGGATCTAGAATCACTTAGGAGACAAACCTCTGGGCACATCTGTGAGGGAGTTTCTGGACTGGGTTAACTGAAGTGAGAAGAGCCACCCTAACTGGAGCAGCATTATTCTGTGCACTGAGGTTCCAGACCGGATAAAAAGGAGACAGTGACTAGGCACCAGCATTCAGCTCTTAGCTTTTTCTTCTTTAAAAAAGATTTATTTAGTTACCACATATATAGTATGCCTGTACACCAGAAGAGGGCACCAGATCTCATTATAGATGGCTGTGAGCCATCATGGGGGTGCTGGGAATTGAACTCAGGTCCTCTGGAAAGGCAGCCAGTGCTCTTAACTCCTGAGCCATCTCTCCAGCCCCCTTAACTCTCAGCTTCTTGGCTGTGGATGCAATGTGACCAGCTGCTGTAGGAATTTAGCAAAGTTGTCGTATTTGGGGTAGACATTAGAATAAACAGTTTTCACTGTATCCAGGGTAGACATTAGAGTGAATACCTGCTTTCTAGAAGTACTTTGACCTTGAGGAATCACTGTGGAAAACAGTAAAGAATCTTTGTGGAAAACGGCGATTGTTTTCCATGATTTGTGGAGTTGTTTTTCTGAAGGGGCGTTGCAGCCTTTGCCTGACTTTGGTCATAAGACACTTCTGGCACACCTGAGGCTCTTAGATTACTGTGTAGTCCTTTACATAGTAAAGGACTAAAGTCATGAGGGCATGTGATGCTCTCCTCTAGAGAGACGTATAGATTAGGGATCTTGGTGTGAGGAAATACTTTACCCAAAAAACAACTTAGTGTAACAATCAGTAAATATGCCTTTGTATGGCTGTTCGAGGTTCAGTTCATCATAAGCTGGACCTTCCTGCTACCACACTGGCCTCACAATTTCATCCTGGAGTGACCTCTTTCTTTGACAGACCCATGTGACACAGGACACCCCGACAACCAGCCTCCTCAAGATCCTTCAGCCATGACTCCCCACCATTGAGGACAGTGAGCCAAAATAAACCTTTCTTTCCAAATTGCTCTTGCCAGCAATGCTAAAAGCAATTAATGCAATACTATTAAAATAATATGGGATGATTTTGAAAACCTGGGAAGTACTTAAGTATAAGTAATAGTAAAATATAGAAAACTCATTAATTCTGAATAGCACAAAATGCTTGGTACGCTAACAAATTGGCAATAATGATATCCACACTGATGAAGTACACAAGTTTTGCTCTTACCATTTCAAATCTTTTGTGCTGGTGCTGGGGTTAAACCCTGGGCCTGACACATGCTAGGCAAGCACTGAGTCTGCTGCTGAGCTATGTTCCCAGCCTGAATGAAGTCTTTCTGAAATTCTGTCATCATGAATGGATGTTGAATCTTGTTAGATGGCTTGTTTGCATATCTGCATTAAAATGATCCTATGTTTCTTTTTTTTTTTTTAATTCTGTGATTATTCACATCAAATGAGTATGTGTGTATGTGCCTGTGAACACGAATGTGAAGGACAGAGTTAAACCTTGGGTGTCAAGGTCTCTCACCGAGACCAGGAGCTCTCTCATTGGTCTTAGCTGAGCCCAGAGGATCATCCTCTCTCCACGTCCCCAGTGCTGGGATTACAAGTGTGTTCCACAATTTCTGGCTTTTTTATATGGAGTTCCAAACTCAGGCCATCATGCTTGCATGAGGCCTCAGTGTAGATCGCCATGACAGTTGATAATGTATGTGGACCCCATGATGCATTGTGGTCCATATCTATAGCAACAGCATCCTTAATGCTGAGGCAGGCGGCTCTTGAGATCAAAGCCAGCCTAGGCTACACAAGGAGATGCTGTCTCAAACAATGAACTAATTAACCCACTGACCGACCAACCAACAAACTTCAGCTCATTGTGTAGAATCATAACAAATCTGAATATGTAAATTTTTTTTTTTTTTTTTTTTTTTTGGTTTTTCAAGACAGGGTTCCTCTGTGTAGCTTTGTGCCTTTCCTGGAACTCACTTTGGAAACCAGGCTGGCATCAAACTCACAGAGATCTGCCTGCCTCTGCCTCCCGAATGCTGGGATTAAAGGTGAGCGCCGCCACCGCCTGGCCCTGAATATGTAAATTCTAATGGCCCATGCTGACAATGACTGAATATGATGCAGAATTCCCATGTCAGAACTGTCTGGTGATCGAGGGAGAGGCACATAAATCAGGGTCGGGATACAGAGAGGAGCTCCCCAGCCCTGGCCTCTACAGGTAGCTGTGGTTGGAGGGCAGCAGGTGAGAGCTCTCTGTGACAGGAATATCCTAAAAGAGGTCTATGAAGCCTCAGACGAGGAGGAGTTTGAAGTCATGGGGTATGTCCTTTGACCCATTCCCATCATGAACTCACGGTTCTAGAATTTGCTACAGCTGGTGTTTTCTAAGTGTGCTGCTTTCTGTCTCAGACTTGCCTTGGGTTTGCTGATGTGAAGTTCTCTCACCATTTGAATGTAGTGCTTTTTCCAGACGCCCTGCTCAAATGGCGTCGGGGAGAAGCTGATGTACCAGTTAAAGCGCAGACACTTGAGCATCCACAGCTGGTCCAACTCGGCCAAGCTCTTCCAGTACCAGCTCACCTGGGAAAACAAAGCAGCCTATTCACTTCATGGCCTTGTCTCTGCTAGTGCTTGAGCTATGCTGTGGGACCCCAGATAACTCCTGTCAGTCTCCTCAAAGGCACAGCTGGTAATGGAACACTTCCGATCCTCCTGTGGTGTGCCGGAATCACAGGTATGCCCCACCAAGCCTGCTTTGCAGGTTTATATCTTAATTTAACTCCAGTTTATTTATTTTTATTATTATTTAAACATTTATTTATTTTTACTTTTATGTGTATTGATATTTGCCTGTGTGTATGTATAGGCATGTAATCCAGAATAGGGGGTCAGATGCTCTGGAACTGGAATTATAGACAAATTGTAAGCTCCCATGTAGGTGCTGGGAACCGAACCTGGATCCTCTGCAAGAGCAGCCAGTGCTCTTAACTCTGAATCATCTCTCCAGCCCCCTAACTTCAGTTTAATACAGTAAAGAATTACTTGTAAGAAATAGTGGCTTCTTCCCACCACCACCCACCCCCAATCCCTCTGAGGGTATACTGGCACATGCAGATCTACCCATCTTTCCGTTTTGTTTTTGAGAAAGGATTCATTTTGTAGTCCTCGGTAGCCCTGAACTCACAATGGTTCTCCGGCCTTAGCTTTCTGAGTACTGAGCTCACAGGTATGCAGCTTAGCTTAGATATCTTTCATTCTTGTCCTCTCAGTACTTATTTCACAAGTGCCCTCTTTTGAGCTTTTCTATTTACAGGTGACCTGCACTGCACAGTCTATGGCAATGGTTCTCAACCTGTGGGTCGTGACCCTTTGAGGGGAGGTGGTTGAACGACCATTTCACAGGGGCTGCCTATCAGGTATCCTGCCTATCAGATATTTACATTACGATTCATAAGAGCAAAATTACGGTTATGAAACAGCAACGAAATAATTTTATAGTTGGAGGTCACCACAACATGAAGAGCTGTATTAAAGGGTCATGACATTAGGAAGGTTGAAAACCATTGGTCTAGGACGTTAGTGTAGCTGTGGGCTGGGTGGTAATGCTGCGCTGCTGAGGAACCACTTATATGTGTCTAACGGCTAGTAATTTTTGTCATCTGACACTCATGGTGACACACACACACACACACACACACACACACACACACTTCTGAGTCTACAGAGTTAGGCATAAATAAAGGTCAAGGGCCATTCATCCAAACTTTGCAGACTAAAGCCCATTGCTTGGCTTTATGCGCACGCGTGTGGGGTTCATCTTGAGGTTATTCCACCTTCAGAGTTTCCTAAGGCTGTCCCAACACACTGTCGTGTGCCCCTCCATTGCCTTTACCTGTGCACAGCGACAGAGGCTCCGGGGGTCCAAGAAGGAAAAGATATAGACAGATAACACCCTGGGGAGCTTGGTAGTAAAATCCAGGGCCTCCGCGGGGATTTTCTCCTGCAGCTTTCGACAACAGAACTTCTGCTGGGACAGGGAGCAACGCTCCAGCAGGCCTGTAAGAATTCTTCTCCTTTGAGAGTCTGTCCATTTGTCGAACTGAGGAAACAGAACAAGAGAGTCCCATGCTTCTTCTGATCCATCGTGAGGAAGAGAACGGCACAAAGAGTGCGTTTAGTGAGTTCCTGCTAATGCGTGGCATGCATTTGTTACAATACCAGCTAAATCCCACATTTCACTGCTGATTTATCCTTTCTCACATTTCCATGTGCATGACCAGACTGCATCTCCAGAAGTGCATCTGACCTAGACCTTCAGTGTACAGGTAATAGTCAACTTGACTGACACAGCCTAGAACCACCTGAAAAGAGTATCTCATTGAGGGTTTGTCTGCATCAGGCTGACATTTGGGTATGTCCCTGGGGGAGACTGTTTTGATTGTGTTAATTGAGGTGGGATGATCCAGCCTATATTGGGAGGCACCATTCCCTAGGCAGGGGATGCTGTACTAGAGAAAGCTGAGCACATGTGCATGTACATACTTGTTTTTTTTTTTTTTTTTCTGTTCTTGGATGTAGATGTGACTAGCTGATTTAAGTTACCGCTTTGACATCCCTGCTGTGGTGGACGCTAACTGGAATTGTGGACTAAGATGAACCCTTTTCTCCCATGGATTGCTTTTTGTTGAGGTGTTTTATCCTAGTAACAGACATGACACTAGGAAGATATAATAAAAAAAAAAAAGTGTGCGTGTGTAGAGCAGAGAGAAATGAATGATCCTTGATTGCTCTCAGTTAGCTTTCTCCTGTCTGATATAGTTCAGAAGCTCATGTTCAGGAAATGGTACTACCTACAAAACCATCCCCCACAGACATGTCCAGAGGTCAGTCTAGTCCAGATACATCTTCAGTTGAAACTCCCTTCTTAGATGGGTCTAGGCTGTGGCAAGTTGACAGTTAAAACTTTCCTTCATAGTATGTGTGTGAATTCATTTTTGTTGGGGTACAGATAAGAAAAATGCCACTTTAGGGTGTGCCCCTCTGGCCCTCAGACTCTTTTCCAGCTTCAAAAGGAGTCCGTCTTTCAACAACTTCGACTACCTTGTGATGATTTCAGAACTTGTTGGCTGTAAAGGTCCCACTTTCTCTACCTCCCTCCAAACACTGATTCAGAGCTTTTAGAATGTGTGTCTCCTGGATTACGGTTTCCCAGACCCCACATCAAATTTGTTTATACATTGTGAGTTTAGATTAGAATCTTCAGTGTCTCGCTCGCTGTCAATTTTCTACTGTTTGTAATATTCAACATGTCCTCATTTATACACTGGGAGTCATTATAGAACATTGTAGGGATATTGTGAGGATTACACACTATTGTGAGGATTACATACACGTGTGTGTGTGTGTGTGTGTGTGTGTGTGTGTGTTTGTGTACGTACATTGCATAAAGGAAATCTATCATTCTAAAATGCCATGGAGATCTTAAAAACAATGTGTAAGTGGTTAATCTATGTAAAAAAGATATGCAAGAAACTTTAAAAGCATCAAGCGGTCATGTTTGTGCCTTGACAAAGACTGGCCCAGGTAAACTCACCAGATTTCCTTAGTGCCACAAGAGAGATGAACTCACATTATAGTGTGACTTTACATGAATATAAAAGAACATTAGGATCATAAAAACCCATAAAGGAAAACACTGAAACACTCTCCCGGAGATTAAAAAGATAATTACATGGAGTCTTCATTTGTCTCCCCAATCGAGAAAGTCCAGGATAATTTACTTTTGGCTCAGATAGGTGTTTTTTGCCTCGGGGATTTTCCTTTCTAATTGTGTTTGTTTAAGCTAATAGAAAATGAATTTACATTCCTTGAACCCCTACCAATTCAAGGTGGGGGTGATGACTCAGAATACCGAGCAGCAGGGGGAAAAAAATCCCTTTGGAGTTTAGAAGGTGTTAGGATAAACCAGGAAGTAGATAATCCACGCAGAGTTCACTGTGCAGGAATTTAGCAATCTCTCTCATTTCTTGCATCAATTCTTCAGTAAAATCCACAGCATAAAAGTAAGGGAGCAGCGTGTGAGGCTGGGGAACCATTAGAGTTCTCTTATCCTCCGGTCACACAGTGTTGGGGTTCACTCCCGAAGGGCGCTGTTCTGTGGGTATTCTTGGTAACTGTGAGCACGCTATTTTTAGAGTCACTGTAGCTTGACCTGAGTTCACCAATTTCACGATGAATGGCAAGGGCAGGGGGGTGATTTG